CCGCCCTCCGCCCCGCCCGCTGCCGCTGCTGGCGCCCTTGCAGGTGGACGTGCCGGCAGCGGCAGCGGGCGAGGGGAGGGCGGCGCTGACGCTGGCGGAGAACAGCACCCTATCAAGCGTCGAAACGGCCTTCCAGGGGGCCCAAAATCTGTGGGATGACGCCATCGTGCGCAAGGACCCGAGCCCGCTGTGGACCATGCCATGCCAGCGGACAGCGCAGCGCCCTGAGCCGCGGGGCGGAGGCGCGCGCCTGCCCACGGCACAATAGCACACAGAGGTGCTGATTAGCGACGACGGAGGCGCAGCACTTGCGGTGCCGATACTGACAACGGCTACCTGCGCCTCAGCCGTGCCCTGCACATCCCGTCGAGGGCCAGGCACCATGCTGATCTGGCCAGGTCGCTGCCCTGCAGCAGGCTGGCCAGGCGGCTGGGGCGGTGCTCAACGGGCGGCGGCATGCGCAGGCTTCTGACAGGGGAGGCAAATGTGGCGGTAGGGCCGCTGTGGGAGGTACTGCAAGGAGAAGGCAGCAGCAAGCAAGGAAACCTGTCAGTAAGGGTGCACTCGGGTGAAATTAGCGGAATGGGCGTGGGGTAAGGCAGCAGCGCCAGGGGCAGGAGCGCACCTGTAGGCTGCTGCGGTGCAGGCGCAATAAAGGGCGCAGGGCCTCTCTGACCACTGGCCCTGCCTCGGTTGTTGCAGCAACACAAGCTAACCTGCAGCGTCCCCAGAAAACTCGCATATGGGCTGCTGCGCGTCATGTACAAGAGGAGCGCCAGGCGCGGCGGACGCCGCCCTGCAGAATGGCGCCCACCATTCACCACAGCACTGTACAGTGACCACGGCCCGCCCGCTTTGCATGCCCCTGGCCACGAGAGCGCCGTCAGCTGCAGTCAGGGGAAGGGAATGGTGGTGGCTCCCTCGGATGGCCTCCGGAGGCGACAAAAGTACTGCATGAGCCTTGGATGGCTGAAGTAAGTGAAAGTGAACAAGGGTTGGCTCGACAAACCCCAGTGACAGAATGCCTGGGCGATTCCGCACCTCACGTTGCCTCACGCCTCGTTGCAGCAGCACGCAACCCCCCTACTTTCACACAAATGCCGGGCAGCGACTAATTGGACAGAATAAGGGGCAAGCCCGGACGCGCATCGCTGGCCTGGAAAGCGGGCGGCAGGCAGAGCTCAGGGGTCACAGCAGGGCAGCATGACGTTAGGCAAAGAACAGAGGAGGGCAGCTGCTATAGGCAGGTTGTTCACACTAGGCTGGCCGACGGCAGCAGAAATGTCAGATGCGGTGCTGCACAGAGCGTGGCCGCAGCTTGCGGCGAGCATCAGCGTTCAACCTGGGAACAGGTGCCTGCTCAGCTTCCACCCGCCCAGACACCACAACCGCTTGGGGGTTTACAGTTCACTGTGAAGAGACAGGGCACTTCAGAGATGAGCTGAAGAGTCTTACAGGGCAAGCACCAGGGTGCGATGGCACAACTTAGCGGGAGCAGCAGGCAGGCTGAACGGCTTGCGCTGTGCCTGGGCCGGGCCAGGCGGCGCAGTGCGCAGGCGAGTACGCTGGTTACGCCAGCCCTCAACAGCCACAGCATACGAGGTGGAGGCGCCGCAGCTCAGGAGCCTTGCACGCCGCATTTCTCTCGCTGTTTCACTGCAGCTTACAGGCGTGACGCATGCGCATGCTGCGCTGGTGCAAAAATGTACTGACTGGTTGCAAAGAAAGCAGGTGGGTAAGCGAGAGTGAAAAGCAAGGATCACGAGTCATTAGAGCGGGGAGAGGAGACCCATGCAGGCCAGGCCGGGAAGCCGCCGGGCTGCCGCCGCCGCGAAAACGGCTGCCATTTGCCGTGTCGAGCCAGCTCAGAGCACCTTCTTCCGCTTCAAGAACTGCAGCACAAGCAAACCAACAGGGACGGCATGTTACCGACAGGAGCTTCATGGCCAGAGCAGGCCACCGGCTCCCTTCACCCCTGCCTTTCCCTTCCCCATCACCCGCTTTGTTTCCCATTGCCACACACCGCCATGCCAGCTGCCGCCCTACCTTGTTGAGGTACCAGAGCTGCCAGACGGCCAGGCCGATGCAGATGAGGGCCGCCAGGATGTTGAACCACGCCACGCGGTTGTTGGTGGCCTCTGCGGGATGCAGCGGGCGGGGTAGGCGGGCAGGGCTGGGCGTGGGCAGCACACAAGCACGAGTGGTTGCTGGGGGGCCGGGCGCGCATGCAGCAAGGAGCCCAAGCCACCCGGCCCCGAGGCTAGCTGCAAAGCTGGCCGGGCCGAGCGCACCGTTGATGTCGCGCATGCGCTCCTCCTTTCTCCGGATGTTCTGCAGCTCGAGGTGGATGGTCTGCACCACCTGCTCCAGCCGCCGCATCTCCACCTGCGAGAGGGAGCGCAAGGCAGCAGGCAGCACGCCGGGTCAGCCAGGGGCCGGCAGCGCTAACTCGATTACGGCTGAAACCTCTGACCACCCACGCCTGCAAACACGAGGACTCCGCCCCAAACAGCCACCAAACCCACCCGTCCCTCCTGCCCCACCATGCCAGTCCCCGCGCCACCCCGTCCCCAGCAACCCCACGGCCACCCTCAGCCCCCGCACCCTCCCACCCCACCTGGATGACGTTCAGGTTGTCCTTCTTGGCCACCGCCTGCCAGTCGTGCGCCTCAGCGCCCGTGGTCCACTTCATCTTGATGCGCGTGCCCTGCGCCGTGTGATAATCTGCAAGACAGGCGGGGGCAGGCGCAGCAAGGAAAAGCAGAGATCGGCCAGGATGGAGCCTGAGAAAATTGGACCAATTTGGTTCACTTCCAAATTTGACAAATTTGGAAACAGCCAGCCGGTGTGGAGCGGCAGCAGGCAGGATCGGCACAGGACAGCCCAGGCTGTTGGCATGTGCCGGAGCAGGCCAGGATGGCGCAACTCCCGACCTGCCCCGAACCCCGCCGCCACCACCGCCCCACCTTTTGCCGTGAAGCACAGCTTGTACTCGCCCTCGCCGTTTGACACAAACTTGAACTCGGCGCCCGCGGAGCCGTGCCGCTCAAACACCAGCTGCCCCTGCGGGTCCTCGAACTGCGGGCAGGGGCAGGCAGGCAGGCACAGACGCGTGGCACCAAGGCTGGTGAGCAGGCGCGCCGTGCCACTGCAAAATCCACAGCTGCAAGCACGCTTCAAGTTCACAGTAAAGGCACTCAGTCGCGCAGCCGCGGCACTTGCCCGCGCATCTATCGCCACCGCCTGGTCTGGCTGGTCGCGCTGGTAGGCCTTGAAGTTGCCCTGCACCTCCTCGTGCTCCCCCACATCCTCCATGACGCACTTGGTTTGGAATACCTGCGGCCACGGCGGGGGCGCAACCGGCGGCGAGGCGATCAGCAGCACGCGAGCAGCTGAAGATTACTGCAGCATGCACGCGTGGCTCCAAGCTGGGCTGCGGCTGATGTGACAGATCAGCCAAATGTGGCTGCAGCCTCGCTGTCGCAGGTGAACAGCGCGGCGGCGGCCAGCGGCAGCACCCGCCCGCCCCGCCCCGCTTGCCATGTCAAACTCGTAGGCCTGTGCGGCGCGGGGCAGCAGCGCGGCCACCGCCAGCAGTAGCACGGCGGCCGCCAGGCGTGCTTGGGGCGCCATCGGGGAGTTGCCTGCCCACTGTGTTTGCGCCTGGGCGTGTGGGCTGTGGGGCGCAGCAGCACTCACACCCTCCTGCCACCGCAGCCAGGGAGGGATCACCGCCTACAGGGGTCCTCCGGGGGCCCTCAGCACAGCCGGGCGATGTGGCTTGCGGGCCGAGCAACCAACAAGTGGCAGGCGCCTGTGAGGGGTTGGGAGGACTGCGATCTTGCAGATGAAGGCCCGGAGGGGATGGGGGGAACGGGTCATGTACATGGGGCACAGCTCGGTGGCCAACACATCAGCAGCTTGCGAATTCCTGCGCTATCATCGCCACGCCTCTCCTTGAGATTGAGAGGCGAGATTGGTGCACGCCAGCAAGTGTCAGGTCCCGACACCGCCATCCGGACTCGCCCTGTTTCCTGGCTAGTCTCGTTGCCCGCTGTGCCAGCCCCATCGAAGCCATCCCTGCAGCCTGGGTACCACCCACACGCTGCAGAAGCCGTCTAGTCGCCCCACGGCGATTTTATGAGCACAGAGCACCCGGAGAGCACACAACCAACAGCTGACACTCAAGAACGCGGCGTGCAGGCACATCAGAGCGGGCAGCAGCATGGAGCAGGCAGCAGCAGCAGCGCGGCCCTTCTCAACGCCGCGGCTTCGGCGTTTGTGCCGCCAGCAGCAGCAGGTGTGCAGGGCTGGCCGACGCACAAGCAAGTGGCCAGGCGCTGGTGTGGTGCTGGTATGTCCGTGGGTGTAGGTTCTGCCGCCAAGCGCTGTGGCTCCGCCGCCTGGCCAGTTTCCCACCGGCTGCTTGTGCCTCGCCGCCGCTGCCCTTCCTTTGATGCAGGCCCAGCGATCGCCGCCAGCGCAGCAGAGAGCAGCCCCGCTGGCCCAGTAGCGGCAGCGCATGGCCGGCCTGCGCAGGGAGGCCGTGGAGGTGGCGGCGGGCGCGGCAGGGGCCGCGGCGGCAGCCTGTCCCGCGAGCTGCAGGGCGCCGGCGGCCATGCCGGGCCCAGGCCCCGTGACCTGCAGCTCGGCTCGGGGCGCGGCAGTGGGGGCGGCGCCCGCGGCGGCGCGCGGCAGTACTTCGGCTCGGCGCCTGCCGGCAGCGGCGCCGGCCCTCGGCAGCAAGCCGGGGAAGGCGTCCTAGGGAGCAGCCCCGGCAGGCGGGGCGTCGCCGCCAACCACCTGCTGGCGTTCCAGACGCGGCGCGACAGCGAGCGGCAGGCGGCGGCGTGCGGGCGCGGCGGCGGCGGGCGCGGCGCGCGGGGCGGCGGCCCGCCTCGCCGCCCCGCCCCCAAGCCGCAGCCCTACGATCGCAACAAGTTTCTGCAGGTGGGCAAGGCCTGCGCTGCTGCGCCTGCTGCCACCTGTGCCACACAGCGCTCCCAGCACATGCTGCAGCTTGACCCCATGCTCTGCGCAACACCGCCACTCTGCCGCTCGCCACCCAATGCCCCCCCCTCCCATGGCCCTCCCGCCGCCTGCTGCTGCCGCCCTTCCCCCACCCTCGCCTCTCCCCGCCCCGCTCCCCACCACCCCAGGCAAACTTCCGATTCCTCGTGTCGGATGCGTTGGATGTGCGGCGGTTTGAGGCCGACCCAGACCTGATGCTGGTGCGCCTGGGGGCCCCGCACCTGCGCCGCCACCGCCTCCCCTGCCTCTCGCCAGGCTTTCGCTTTGCGGCACGGTCATCTCCGCCCTCACCCCCACCCGCCGCCGCCTGTGCCGCTGCCTGCCGCTGCCGCAGGAGTGGGAGGATGTGGCGCAGGTGGGGGGCTGTTCTACCCTGGTTGGGGTGCCGTGGGTTCATGTGGTGGGGGCTGGCCAAGTTGGCACGTCTTCTGCGGGTTGTGGCGTCGGGCCCGCAGCCATCCTCCCGTCTCTTCCCGTATAGCCCACACTGTCTGCCCAGTTCAAGCAACTTCAATATCCGTTCAATCAGCATCGACGCAGCCGGCCCTCCGACCGTCGGTCAGCGCTCCGACTGCCTTCCGACTGCCTCCCGCCGCCGCCGCCGCCGCCGCCGCCGCAGGTGGAGATGCTGAGCGCGGCGCCGGTGCGGTGCCCCATCACGCTTGAGGAGCGCCCCTTCTGCCCCCAGATCACGCCCTGCGGTAGGGCGGTTCCACAGCTTCTCTTCTCGAAGTTGGTTGTTCATATGTTCTCGTTGGCTGGCTTTTCTCTTCTGGCACAGGGTGCAACAGCCCTGTGGCATTCTTCACGCCCCGCAGGCCACGTGTTCTCCTTCCCAGCCATCATCGGGCACCTGGTGGCCCACGGCGGCCCCGAGCTGCGCAAGAGCGCGCCCTGCCCGCTGTGCTACACACAGGCAAGGGCGCCGCCCCCTGGCCCCCGGCCCTCGCTCCTGCCTACCTCGCATGCCAGCGGCCACCGTGTATTTTTTTTTGTGCTGCGCCACCAGGCCCGCTGCTTGCCGACAAGCTGTCGCCCCGCTGCGCCCCAACCCCCCTGCCTGCCTATCTGCCTGCCCGCCCATACCTCCCGCCTGCCCGCCTGCAGATCGCGGCCCGTGAGCTTCGCTTGGTGCAGGTGCATCAGGTGGCGGCTCCGGCGGTGGGCCAGGTGGCCACCTTCCAGCTGCTGCGGCGCCCCAGGGACAGCATCAATCCAGAGGCCGTCGCAGCGCCAGGTCAGCGCTGCGAGCGTGCCGGGGCAGCGCCTGCTGATGGTACCACAGCGGCGGGCAGCCCCGGCAAGGATGAGGCGCGCCCGGTGGGAGCCCCGCCAGCGCCAGCCGAGGCGGGAGGGGGCGCCTCTGCCTGCAACCGCTTCTCCAAATTCACTCTGGTGGGAGGCGCGGCGGCCACGGCGCTGTGGGTGGCAGAGGCGCGTCGGCTGGCGGCATACGCAGCCCAGGTGTGCGGGGCAGGCTGAGCGGGCTGGTGGGGATGCCGCGAGGCAGGCGCAGGCTGCACCCCCTGCCGAGCATGCCGCCGCCGCGGCGACCTCTGGCCTGCTGGCGGGGAGCAGCCGCGCCCCTGCTTCTTCTGCTGCCCCTGCTGCACCTG